CTCCAACATTAGGCCTTGCTGTTGTGTATCCATATATACTCTTGCCATCTTTAACATCTTCTTTTCACTGTCTCACAGACATCTCAATTCAATGTCCCATCTATTTAATGGTTCATAACAAACCACCTCAAACTTGATGCCATAAAACAAGAGCTTTTTTTAATGTTATCTCTCACAATTCTGGGTATTGGGTGGTCTCAGCTTAGCAGTTCTCACTTGGGGTTTCTCACATGGTTGCAATCAGATGGTGGCTGGTACTTGCAGGCCTCCCTACTAAAATATCTGGAGCTTGGGCTGGGAAAATTTGAACAGCTGGGAACTAGAACAGCTGGGGTTCTCATACACCTCCATAACCCTACGGTCTTTCCACATGATCTCTCTAACATGGTAGCTTCAAGTTAGCTATACTTCTTACCCCAAAGGTAAGAAGGTGTGAGTCCCAAGAGTGAGGCAAATAGAAGCTGTATCATCTTTCTGGAACCTAGCCTTGGAAATAACATGGTGTTACTTGCGATATATTTTTATTAATTGAGGCAGTCACAAAGGCCTGTCCAAGGTTCTAGGAGAGAGGACAATATACACTCCACTTCTTGGATGGGAAATAGCAAGTTTCTGGAAGAACATGTGGATTGGGAAGTATTATAGTAGCTACTTTTTAAAAACCACAATCTCCCACAGTCCACCTTTTGGCCGTAATTGTTTGCGTCCCTCTCATATTCAAAACATGCTCACATATTTCACCAAAAATATCCCAAACCCTGGTGTCAGATTCCAATTTACATCCAGGATCTCATTATCTAAATCAGACTTAAATACAAATAAGGCTTCTTGGATATAGTGCCTCAAATGCATTTATCTATATCAAAGAATTTGTGAACAAGTTATCACTATTTATTGAATGTGTGGGTTTCAATAAATAGTGGTAAAATTAATTATTGCAGCTTTATACCTCAAAATATAATACACCTAAAAAGATTTTTTCCCACTAAGATGTTTGACTAGAACACTAGGAAGTAAACATTCAGACTAAATATAAATCTGATTCTAGGGGCTGACTGGTTAGGTCAGTTAGGAGACTGTGTTACTGGTAACCCCAAGGTAAAAGGTTAGGATCCCCTTAGCAGTCAGCCACCAGAAAGATAAAATAAAACAAAAAATAAATCTGCTTCCTCACTGTGTTGTCAAGGCATGTTGTGTCTTTTTTTCTTTTTTTTCCTTTTTGTCTTTTTTCGTGACCGGTAATGGGATCGCAACCCTCCATGTCGCGCCCGTACCACAACCGGCAATGGGATCGCAACCCTCGGTGTCACGCCCGCACCGCGCTCAACCAGTGAGCGGACCGGTCTTTATATGGGATCCGAACCCTTGGTGGGAGTGCCGCCGCCCTCTACCGAGTGCGCCACCGGGCCAGCCCATGTTGTGTCTTTTGTTCTTTTTTTTCCTTTTTGTCTTTTTTCGTGACCGGCAAAGGGATCGCAACCCTCGGTGTCACGCCCGCACCGCGCTCAACCAGTGAGCGGACCGGTCTTTATATGGGATCCGAACCCTTGGTGGGAGTGCCGCCGCACTCTACCGAGTGCGCCACCGGGCCAGCCCATGTTGTGTCTTTTTGCTGGGAGGTAGAGACAGACAGATTTCAACAGCTTTTCCAGTTCTTTATGTCATGACCTATGATAGGCTTTAATCTAGTAAGGTGTATTTTAAACAATAAAATGAAGGAATTTTTTTTTTAACACTAAAATTAATTGGTGCTTCTGGCCATAATAAGGTAAATAGTCACACTTGCCCTCCTATATACATAACTATAAAAATGGTCTAAATATATGTAACAAATATTTTCAGACATTGGAGATCAGGCAATAACAGGGTGTGAAGCCTGAGTGAAAGAAAACAAATGAAGTTAGCCCTAGACCTCGCAGGCTTTCTTCCTGGAGGCACTTTCCACAGTGCAGTACAGATAGGGAGAACCCAAGCAGAACACTACAGACTCACTTGAGTTGAGATAATAGAGTTCAGAGAAGCTGAAGGGGCATAAATTTGAAGGACAAAGTACCAGACAGCAAGGAAATGCATAGAAAGAGTTGCAGAAACCTACGTGAGTCCCCCCTTCAGTCTGTTGCTGAATATTAAACCATTCATGCATAGGGTGAAACTCCACAAGACTGGGCAAAGAATGACAATAGAGATAAAAGCTGAATGATTCCCAGAATTTACACATAGAAGTTCTGACCAGCCAAAGTTGAGAATACTTGTGGAACAGTGGGGCATTCAGAAAACTACAGAAGGGTCATACATTAGTAGTGGGGCTAAATTAGCCCTAGAATAAGTCTATTTTTGAACTAACCTAATAGAGCTTTAAAGCAAGCTTCAGAAAGATTAAGTTAATCCACAAGTAATTTATTTGCCTGCCAGAAAAAAATATACTACTCTTCAGTGGAAGAAAACAAAATCCAGCATTCGGCAACATAGTATTCATAATGTCAGGAATTAATACTGGCCAGCCACCAGAAAAAAAAACAAAAAAAGAGAATCAAATTAAAATTGTTAAATATTAAGCATGACAAAAAGAAAAATCAATTAAAGTAGACTCATAAGTGCCAGCAATGATGGAATTAGCAGATAAGGATTTAAAAACAGTAAGTAAGCTCAAGGATTTTTTTTTAAAAAAAAAACACCCATGAACATATTGAGGAAAGAAAAAAATACAAAAGAACTAAATGGAACTTCTAGAGCTGAAAATACAATATTTGAAGTGAAAATTTTAATAGACTCTACACTGCAAAAGAAAGATTAGTGTGCATGAAAGCTTAGTGATAGAAACTATTCAAACTGAAAAACAGAGCAAATTAAAGACTTTTTAAAAATGAATAGAGCATCAGTGACCTGTGTGGGACAATATCTAGCATACTTGTATGGGGAGATTGAGAAAGAGAGAAGAGGCAGAAAAAAGTATGCAGAAAAAAAGTATAGCTGAAAACTGTCCAAATTTAATAGAAACTGTAAACTAAAATCCAAGGACCTCAACAAAACCCAGGCAGGTAAAACACAAAGAAAATCACACTAAAGCACATATAATCAATTATTTAAAAACATTGGTACTCAATGGTGAAAGACTGAAAACATTTCCTTTAAGATCAAGAACAAGACAAGAATGCCTGCTTTCATCACTTCTATTTAACGTATTTCTGAAAGTTCTAGCCAGAGCAGTTAGGCAAGAAAAAGATATAAAAGGTGTTGGGCCGGCCCGGTGGCGCACTGGATAAGTGCGCTGCTTGGGAAGCGCGGAGGCGCTCCCGCCTGAGGGTTCGGATCCCACATACAGACCGGTTCCCGCTCACTGGCTGAGCGAGGCACGGGAGCAGCACCGAGGGTTGCAATCCCGTTGCCGGTCCCTGGTCCGGTACGGGGGCAACACTGAGGGTTGCGATCCGTTGCCGGACACGGAAAAAGATAAAAAAGACAAAAAAAAAAAAAAAAAAAAAAGGGGTCTAAATTGTAAAGGAAGAAGA